TCAAAAAAAAAAAAAAAAAGAATATATGGAATAAGATGTTCCAGTTTTAATAGCCTTGTCTACTGATTATATCATCTATATTATTTCTGGATCTGTTTCTATTGTTTGGGTTTTCTCCTCATGTTTCTTCTATCATGTTTTTCTGCTTCTTTGGCAATTTTGAATTGAATGGCAGACATTGTAAATGTTACCTTTTGGGGTCTTAGACAGTATTGTATTCCTATAAATATTCTTGAGATTTGTTCTGGGGTACATTTAAACATTTTGATTATTTTGAGGCTTCGTTTTAAGCTTTTTTTTTTTTTGAGACAAAGTCTCACTGTGTCGCCTGGGCTAGAGTGCCGTGGCGTCATCCTAGTTCACAGCAACCTCAAATTCCTGGGCTCAAGCAATCCTTCTGCCTCAGCCTCCCGAGTAGCTGGGACTACGGGCATGTGCCACCATACCCGGCTAATTTTTTCTATATATTTTTAGTTGTCCGATTAATTTCTTTCTATTTTTAATAGAGATGGGGTCTCTCTCTTGCTCAGGCTGGCTTCGAACTCCTGAGCTCAAACAATCCGCCCGCCTCGGCCTCCCAGAGAGCTAGGATTACAGGCATGAGCCACCGCGCTCAGCCCTGGGAGGGTTTTTAATATGACTTGTGGGAACAGAAGCTATTTCTGGCTCTAAGTAAGATTTAGTGATTGTGTAGTTTTTTTCTCTGGCCTTGGGTAGTCTCCTCATATATTTGTGTTGATTATTACTCAACTGAAGCTTCAAGGGAAACCCCCTGGAGATCTCCAGGGTCATCTCTGTGTGCAGTTCTGTCCTCTCTAGCTTCTAACCATTTTTGTCTTCCCAAATTTATTCAACTCAGGGAGTCTGTCAGATTCCACCTGGGTTCCCCCTTATTGCACTCAGAAACTCTCTCTAGACAGTAAGCACGAGATAATCACTGAGTTCATTTTGTTTGTTTCTCTTTTTCGGGGATCACCATTTTGTGTTGGCTGATGTACAATATCTGAATATATATCGTTTGATATATATTTTTGGTTCTTTAGTTGGGTCAAATGAGAGGGTAAATCCTCTCTCAGTTAATCCATCTTGGCTTTAAGTGGAAGTTCCTAAAATCAAAAAATAATTTGTTCATTTGGAATGTATTTATTGAGCACCTGCTATGCAGATCACAATGCTAGGAAATGTAGACTATAGCTGTTAAGCAGGCAGACTCAATTCCAGCCCTCCTACCCCACATAGGCCAGCATGGGAGACAGGCTTTAGGTGATGATTACAATAAAATGTGGAGAGTATTCTGATAATGTACAGTGATCTAATTAGTCCAGGAGATTGAGACAGCACTCTCAGAAAATCAAAATTTATTTT